ATTAATTTTCTAATAACACTAGTCTGTTCCATTAAGTCTTGTTCAGGGTGTAACTGACTCCTTGTTATTCATGCCATTGAAGAGTCAAAAACTTGATGGTTTTTCAAGGCCTCCGTCACCCCTGCCTCTTCCCACATGCTGCCCTCCACTGTACTCATTCTGACCTGGCTCCCTGGTGCCCACAGTCAGCGCAGACTGACATTTACTGCAGATAAAGCATGTCTTTCTGAAGGCCTTAACCTTTGTCAACCCACAGTGATGCCTGGAATTGTCAGCTGCTACATTTTAGTGTAAATGAGTTCACATATTCACTGGGGACACATTTTGGTTGAGCAAAGATGAGGATCTCAGAGATCATAGGAAGAAAAAGTTAGAAAGGCTTTGGTGGACAAATTTCGGTTCTCCATCCTGCCTAGGAAACACAGGTGCCCCATTCGCTGTCCAACTTCTCGCAGGTGCCTCCTGCCCTGCTCATCCTGAATGTATCCCCTGCCCGTTTTGGAAGGCCCAGCTCATGCCAACTACTTCTAGGCAGTTCCAGCCCCACACTCTTCAAATCTTCCGCAGCACCCAAGTTTCTCCTCCCCTCCACCCCTGTTTATTTAGAAGTCTCATATTCCCCATATTCTCCCCTTTTTCACAAGTCCTTGAGGGCAGAGATCGTGCCTGCTTCTCACTCGGTAGTGGCTTGATAAACACATGACCAACATTCAGGACTTCTAATCTGACTTATCTGGCCATTCACCTTAATCAATGCCAGTCTGCGGCTTCTTCTTCAACTTTAGTTCTCCTGGTTCTGTTGGGTAGCACTTTTTGTCGTTGTTGCTACAGGACCTGTGCTCTTGCCAGAGACAGAGAGACAGAGAGAGAGGAAGAAAGCACCCTCCTTGGGGAATGGTCAGACTGTGATCACTTCTCCATCTCCCCCTCCTTTCAGGATTTTCAAGAGTGTTTCCCGAACTGCCTGGTCCAGGCCTAGAATCACCATGGGGTGGGGGATTTGGGATCTGGCTGCCTTACCCACTCGGCTAGAGAGTCAGCTCATGGGCAGCGCTTTTGACTCTGGGTAAAATGGGCATTCTCGACACACATCAATCTGCCATCTTCAAAGCCTTTCTTTCTACTGATAAGAGTGGGAGAGACCCTCCTGACTGCCTCTCAAGAAAAACCAATAAACGAAAGCACTCATACTAAAAAAGAACAAGTGAGGATAGAAACAAATCCAAACAGAGAAGAGACGGTTCCTGCTATTCTCATTTTCCAGCCACATGAAGGAAACACCGAACGTGGGGAATTAGAGCAAGGGACGGCTATGGTTTAACCACATTCACTGAAATGTTGATATTTGGGACCATGAAAAAGAGATGCAGGATTTTAAGAATAGGGGAGACTGAAACTCATGCTTTTTTCCATCAAATAATTTAGGGGCCTTTGTACCAAAATTAAATCTCATAGTAACCTCGCCCAATGCTAAGCCTTGGAACCAGCCCTTCGTTTGAGAGTGGCCAGGGCGGCCTTCTCTGCCTCTATCCTCTATCTGGCTCAGCCTTTCAAGAAGGTTCCCGCGCCTTGAGCCAGACGTAAGTGTTCCAGCACATTTCTGTAGCTGGCCAGGACCCGGAGTAAACCCCCAGGAATAAACCAGAGCAGCGAGTCACAGAAGCGGGCGGCGGGGAGCAGGGGCGTGGAGAACTATACTGCAGGTGGGCCTGTCACTCCAGCAGAGAGCCAGCACCCTCACCTTCAAGGTCTTTAAAAAGGCAACATGGGGACCAGCAGTTAGCGTAATGGCTATGTCGGACTCCCACGTAGTGGACCGCGGTTCGCGTCCCAGACCTGGTGGCTTAAACTCTTGCCAGGCGTGTGTGCGTGCCCAAGATCCCCAGAGGAGAACGGAGAAGGGATAGCGGCGTGGCCATCCCCCCAAGGGGGTGATTTCTTGCTTTCTGTCTCTCTGTCTCTCTCCTTCTGGCCAGCGCACGCGCCCTATAGCAAACACCTCTCAAAAAAAAAAAAAAAAAAAAAAAGAAAGAAAGAAAAGGAAAAAAAAAGAGTAAGAAAAAAAAAAAGCAGCGTGTCCCAGACAGAAAGTGCTAAACTCAAGGGAAATAAACCCTGTTAAAAAGGAAAAGCAAAAAAGGGAGGTCGCAGCTCGCTGCGCTGCGAAGCACCTGAGTCCCCGGGCAGCGTTCCCAGGCCCTGCACCCTAGCGCGGGGCCGCGGCCGAGCGCCGGGAGAGGCTCGCGCTACCTGGCGTCCGGCTCCTCCTCCGACTCTGCCGCGGTCTCGTCCTCCTCGCCCTCCGACTCCTCCTCGGTCTCCAGCCCGCGGGTGGCATCCTCGTCTCCGTCGGAGCCGAGGAAGCTCTCGGCTGGATGTTGCCGCCGCTCGCCATCGTGCTCTCCGGGGCCAGAGCCGCCCGCGCCGCGCCTGGTGTTCTCCCTCTGACTGCGCCGCTGGCCCCGGCCCGGCCCGTCCTGTCCTGCCCGCCGGGGCGGCTCCGGTTCCAGCGCAGGGGGCGGGCGAGCCCCACGACTTTAAATAGAAGGCGTCAAAAAGTTTCGCCACGTCTCCTCTTCCCTGAGGGTCTGCCAACTTCCCGAGCCCGGCCACGCCCCGGCTTAGGCAGGTCCCGGGGGCCTTGGGGGCAGCAGATCACCACTTGGAGGGGCGCGAGCACGTTCCCCTGCACCCTTGGCCTCACTGGGCCTCTCTTCCCTCGGAGTGACAGTAGGTTTTGTCTCCAGTTGAGTTACCCAATGGGCCCTTCCCTACCAAACAGAAACTCCTTTCCTGAGCAGCTAAAGCTAAATCTGCCGAGTCCAAAGCCCCGTTTTGAACCACTGTCCAGTCCTGGCTCCCTTTCTATTTACAAGTCAATAGATTATTATCTTGACTAATCTCAAGGCCCCTGATGATTAGGCCAGGAAACTACCTCCACTAACTGTAAACCCTGAGGAAGAACGGTCTCCCCCACATTAAAGGCTAAATGTTGTCTAAAACTCATCTCAAAGACCCCAGAACTTTCTAAAACTCCTTAATGGCTTCCCCCAGCTCAAGGATCAACACCCAAGGTCCTTAGAAAAAATAAACGCTGCCTAAGAGCCCACACTTAATGTGTTTGGTCTCTTCTACTCTCAGGAGTTCCCAACGTTGTATGGAGTCACACCCTGTACGATTTACACAACTCCTTCTGCTTCACACTCCCCCCAGTAGGCTACTCATTTTGTTCCACCAACTGCATTCCTTTCAAGCGCAAGAGCTAGCAAAATACCTAGACACAGGAACTTCTGTTTTTTGTTTTTCGTTTTTTTAATATTTTGCCATAGGGCGTGTGGGCTTGTCAGAGACACAGAGAGAGGAAAGTGAGAAATCCCCCCCACCCCCAGGTGGTATGACCACTCAGCAATCAATTCCCAGCCATTCTCCTCTCAGGATCTCAGCACACCTGCACACAAGCATGGCATGATTTTCAAGCTGCCAGGTCCGGGACCTGTGTATAAGTGGGTATAAGTGAAAATAACAGTAGAGTTCAGCCTTCCAGAATTCACTAAACCAGGTTTAACATCTCAATTTTCATTCTCTTGACATCACAAGTACAGGTAGTCTTAGGTTCCTCCCACTTAAAACTTCCTTAGGAACACTAACATCTACAATATTTATTTGCAAAGATCCTAGTTCAAACCAATCCAAAATTCAGAACTGCAGTACAGATGGAACGTTTTGATCTTTCTTTTTATTTAATTTTTTATTTATTATTCTTCAATTTGACCAGAGAGAGAGACAGTGATAGTGAGAAACCACGTCACCAGGTCCGGGACTTGAACGGTGATAAGCCATGTGGAAGTCCAGTGCCTTAACCACCACACCACCTGCTAGTCCTGGACATTTTGAACTTTCTAACACTACTTTTTTAAGTAACAACAAATTCAAATATATAGAAATGAAGAGATCAACACAAACCAAAAAATAATATAGTACTTATCACATAAGTGATTAAGTCTGAAAATGACTTTGAGGAGTCTAAAAATTCTCTCATATATTAACAGCCCACTTGCCACATTTGGCCTGTGGCAAGGTAAGTCTAAGATTAGAATCGGGTATAAGTTTATTAACTTCTTGATCTGTTTGTTCCAATAAGACAGCTGAAAGAAGCAATACTAAGGGTATGTCACTGGAAGCTAAGAAAACAGTGACAGCAAAGGAGTCCACATGTGATAAACTGTAGGAATATAATCAGAAATGTCACAATACTGTAGAAGCAGAGTACCCTACACAATTGTCCGTGCCTGAGAGATGTGCAGTGCTACTAAATAGTTCCATGGCTGATATTTATGATGATTACCAGGAGTTATCACTAGGATATTGATGCTATTCAACACAATTTGATAAAGAAAGTTATACAGTATATAATAAACTTTGGGGAAATGTCTAAGAAAAGTAATTAATATAAAAAAAGCTCAATTATATAAAACATATTATATATTAATAATCTAAAAATTATTTTATATAAAAGGCTTGTGGTTAGCTGGCTTGTGGAAGCACAAATGAATTTGATTCTAAGATATTCTACATATAAATAAGCAAGTATATTAAATGGATTCAATTCAGTCCTAGAGGATAACTATAGCCTCGATCTCATTTCAAAAGCAATGAGTTTTACTGAAAAACAAAAACCCTCAACAGTTTCCATATATAAACTTTATTCCATTTGACATCATACAAAAATTCAAAGTTACAGAAGAAAATGAAAATATGCACCTTTACAAGTCAAAGAAAAGCAAAAGTTTTAGCATTTAAATTGGTCTGCAAAAAAAAAAAAAACGTTAAGAGGTACAAACTGTACTACAGCAGGTCTAAAAGAGGTTGTACATAGTCCCTTTGAAAAAGTTAAAACTGTTTTCAAGATTACTTTTTATATTTAAATTTACAGGCACTGACCAATTTACAAATATATACATAAATCAAAATGACCGTAATAAACATGTAGCTTCTTTAGCAGCCACCACTACTTCTTTTGTGTGGAAAAGAAATACTAAAAAAGATATTTTTACAAACATTAAACTTTTATTTATAGTATTTTTATTATGTCTTATCTAAAACATTTTGTAGTGGCTTACTGCCTAAAAATTCCAGTTTAGATTACAATCCTGTAATTGTACACAGAAAAACAATCTGATACTACAATAGGACATAATCTTAACTTTGATCTTTCAGTTTCTGTTGCTTTATGTTACTAGGAAAATGAAAGTTGGAAAGTAGGAAGTAAAGCAAAAGTGAACCTTGCACTAAGCTATCATAAAGCACAGGAGATAATCTTTTCAAATGTGTACACTAAATTGATTCTTGGAAACAATACACTAACTGTTGTAAGAGTTAGTGCTCATATTACTACAGTGCAAAATGGATTGTTGTTTCAACACAAAGTTTTAAAGCAATCTCAAGAGTACATCAAAAGCACCTGAAGTACTAAAGAAATGCTAACGTAGACACACCCCCAGTCTATCCCAATGAGTCAAGCGAAGACTTAAGGCAACTATCCAGTATTTCATGACTCTGCAGTGACTCCACTGAAATAAAAGATTGCATTTTGCTTCAAGTGACTGAATAACTGACTTGAATCTTCACTTTTCTAGAATAGACTTAAGACAACAAACTATTTACTGTAGGTTATACTTTAAGCATGTATGAATCAGACCGTTTCCAAAATTCCACATGCGTTTTCAGTATTATCATGTGATATAATTAATTGAAGCTGTATCAAAAAAACTTTTATTTGTTCAGTTAATTTTGCAAAATATATTTTATCTGATCTCCTGAAAATTCCTGCCACGATATTACTAGCCATCAATGTAAACATTTTCAAAAATACATTTTTAAATCAAAAGGTTTTTATTAGGAAATGTCATAATAAAATATGTAATCTTTATATAAGTATGTCCTTTGAAAAATAAAACATGAAAACAAGAACGATTAAAAAGAAACCATGATGGAGGTAATAAACAAAATGAATTATAACTACTGTTCTTTATTTCTCAGAAGAATTTATTAAGAAATAGAGGCCAGTTATCTTTTCAGGATAGCAGCTCTTAAAGGTAGTATACTGTTCAAATCTCTCTTGTTTTTCAATCTGTGCCATGACTGTGAAAGAAAGAAAAACCATGCTTAAAACCTAAAACATACACAAAACAAAAGACTGAAAAGAGTTACACAACGTTAATACCGGTTTTTCTCTAGGTGGTAAACTTTTGAATGATTTCTTTTCTTGTGTTTTAACTTTTAAGTTTTTAACACAATACAAGCATTGCTTGTGTCATCAAAAAAGAAAATGTTATTAAAAACTGTACCTGAATGGTTCCAATTCATTAATAAAGAAATAGGCACATAAGAGATTTTAAATAGATACAATGACAATATTAACGTTTATTCGGAATAGCAAGGTAATTAAAACAAAACTTTTGGAATTGAGAAGGTAAGAAAGGATTACTTCAATTATTTGATTAACTGTTTTACATATTTACTAGCTTTTTAAATTAAAGCTAGTATTTATGGGACCAGCTTGTGGCATGGTGGTTGAAGCAGCTGGATCCCACAGGGTCAAATGCATCGTTTTTGAGTCCCAGACCCAGTGGCTTAAAAAACACATCAGGTGTGTGTGTGTGAGTGTTCGAAGTCCCCAGAGTAGGGAGACATGGAGAAGGGATTGTGGTATGACATTCCCCATGGAGGGTGCTTTCTCACTCTCTCTTTCTCTTTCCAATGAGCATCTGTGCCAGAAAAAAAATTTTAAATAGTAGTTATGAAGAAGAGAGTAAAACTATAATAAAATAAAGTACTTTATGTGTAGTTCAGGAAAATAACAGTGAATAGAATTTATAAGAAAAAGAAAATAGGGACCAGCAGTTGGCATAATGGCTATGTTGCTGGATTCCCATGTAGTAGTCGACCGTGGCTCAAGTCCTGGACTCGGTGTGTGTGTGCCCAAGATTTCGTGAGGAGAATGGAGGAGAAGGGATTGCAGCGTGGCCATCCCCCCAGGGGTGATTTCTCGCTTTCTGTCTCTCTGGCAAGCGCACGCACCCTATAGCAAAAACCTCTCCAAAAAAAGAAGAAAAAGAAAATAAATTGGAATTCTTATATACAAGCTGAAATCTGGTTCCCTACCTGGGGCTGTATATCACTGTAGTATACAGTTCACTGACCAAATGTGCTGGTTTTATCTAAACAACCCTAGTGAAAGCTCACTCATCGATAAGAATAGCAAAGTAGCAATGCTACTGTTGAGTTTTCAATTTAATCTGATAAACAAAAACATTCCCTCTTAGATATTTGTTTGAAAATGAAAAATTTGTGAAACAAATCTGTTTTGGTTGACAAAGTGAGGGCCTAATTTGAAGGATAACTTGTAATAGAATGGTTACATTTTTAAATTATCACTAGCTTTCTCTCCTGTATGTCTCATGCTACATATTTTTATCAATGCATTTCTATGCTGTATTGTGGAATTCCTAGAAGACAGAGATTACATCTAGCACAACCACTGATGAATGAATTAACAACATGGACATACACACATACATTCTTTTAACTTTTAAAGTATGTGCAAAAATAAGATGGCACTCTGAATTGTTATAGTCGGTATGCAGAAGAAAAAGCATGGATTAAACAAACACTAGGTTCCTCCTTCTTGCTTTTTTTAAAAATTAGTCAGAGGGCAGGTATTCTCATTGTTGGGGGTGGGTGAGTCCCTTCTCCTCCATTTCTCCATCCTGCTGGGATTATGAACACGTACGCTGTAAACCACCAGGGCCAGGATTCTACAGCAAGTGCATGGTCAGCTATGTGGGATTCAGCTCCCTTGAACCACTAGGCCACAGAGCTGGTCCAACATCAGCTTCATTCTAAGGCAAGGGTAAGTTTCCCAATATTTCAAGGAGGGAGAAGAGTCCATCAGATTTCATTCATACATTTTGTGAGTTTAATAAGCTCACTATGAAAATGTCTACTCCCATGAAAATGCCTACTCCCATATGAATAAAAATACAGCCAGATCTCTCAGAAGATATATCCAAATCCAAATAATAAATTCCCTATTATGCTGTATCAATGGCTTCACGACATAGAAATTGGGACTATTCTGTCCTATTACACACATATATATATTTTAAAGAACACTAATTAATTAATCTGATAAATTGTTTACCTTTAAAAATTGATCCTTGATAATGTCAAACTTTTGCTTTTCATGCACAGCTCTTGCTGTGTTTGTTCCATCAAAAGGTTCTACAATGTTAAAGAAGAAACTATTACAATGAGTTTTATTAGGTTTGACTATATATAATTGCTAGTATGTGAGTTTTTGACCTGCAAAAACAGCAATTTGATATCACTCATTCTAATATCTTTATTAGATTTACGTACATAGAAAAGTTTAATATAGCAATCAACTTATTAAAGGTTGACAGAATTCAAGAGGATGACTAGAAATGATAGTTATCAGCATAACAATATTATGTGTAATCACAAAAACGAGTAAGACTGCTGAAAAATTACAGTGGGTCAAGGATACATCCTTAGGAGAACAGTTACCACAAAGGAAAAAAAAGATCATATCCAAATAAGGCAGTCAATGTCACAGAAAGTAATTTTAAGTTTCATTTAAACTTTTCTTTTCTCTCCTGCAGCAACTTGTATAAGAAATCTGGTAAGTAAAGAGAAAAACAAACAAACAAACAAAAAACAGAATAGCAAAAAGAGAAGACAGGAAAGAGAATAAGAAAAGAGTTTTTATGTGTTTGTCTCCAGCATGCCACAACCCCACCCCACTCATCCTTTCTCTGCAAGGTAAGAGAGAAAGTCCATATACTGAGACAGAAAGGAAGACAAAGAATAACAGTGAGCAAAGGAGGACACTGAAGGCATTAGGAGTTGAGACTGAATGACCAAATAATGACAGCAGTAGGTGAAAATGAGTGGCGATTAACTAAGATTTTTTGGTACTGAAAAAGATAACAATAAAAGTACTTAGAAGAGCCAGTAGGAACATATCAAGATTATTTTTCAAGGATGAGAAGATGAATGTATGTATGCCTTAAAGCTGAAAGGAAAGTACTAAGAGAGAAAAAATGAAATTGCTAGAAAGAATAAAGATTACTGAGGGGGAGTTGCTCAAGTAACTGAATAATGCAGTTGGCATGCCGTTTAAGGCATTGGATCCCACATGGCTGACTGCAAGGTTCCAGTGCAGTTCAAGTCCCAAACCCAGAAGCTTGAAAAACACACCAAGCGCATGTGTATACACGCCCAAAATCCTGGGAGAAGGGACTATGGTGTGGTCATCCCCTCTGGAGGGTGCTTTCTCACTTTTCCTCTTACTGTCTCTCCAGCAAGCACATGTGCCCTATAGCAAAAATAAAAAAAAAAAAGGATCACTCGCTGGGAAGATAGCGATTAACTTTAGTTTTGTCGCATAACCTTAACAGACTTATAATTTTATTTATTTATTTATTTATTTATTTATTTATAAGCAGACTAACGGTTTTATTTTTAGCTTGTCAGAGGGCACATGCACTCACCAGAGAATGACCAGAGAGAGAAAGGGAGAGAAAGCACTCTCCAATGGGGCATGGTCAAGTCACAATCCCTTCTCTCTTTCTCCACTCTAGGGACTTTGGGTGTGCATGCACACACACTAAATAGAGTGGTTTTCAAGCCACCGAGTCTGGGACTTGAAGCCTCGCAGTCATGTGGGACCCTGTTCCCTTAACTACCAGGCTACATTCAGGGCTGGGCCAATAATACTTCTAAAAATTCCTTTTTTTGTTTATTTATATTTTATTACTGCTTAGAAAAGCTATTTCAGAAAAGGAATTTGTCACAGTACTGTGGGTTCTTTTCTTAATAATGCCAAACTGTATCAGATCAAATCATGCATAACACTTTACAACCACGTTTAATATTAAAAAGAACATAGTAACTAAAATAATGTACACCCACTGTACAATTTATTAACAAATGAAACACCATAGCAGGAAGTTTGATGTAATATTCACATACTCTTAAGATGTTGCATGTAAAACAAGATTTAAATATTCTAAATCTGATGTTTCTACAAATGCTGATTCTCAACTCTTCTATTTTCAGCTCAAGATTTACAAAGGTCTCCAATTTGGTATTTATGAGAACAATTTTGCCTCTCACAGTCAGTTTCCCACTGACAACAAAAAGGTCTCAAAGATGTATTCAACTACATGTAAATTAATCATACAGGAAAAAAATCTTCAGATCAATTTTTTAAATAAAATCTAATTCTTTCATAAAAATCTAGCTTGTATTAAGGAACAATATTTTAAATGTGGAAGAATATAAAAGAACTCACTTTATTTTAGTATAAAAATCATCATATAACATTATATTTTCTTCCATCTGTAAGCCATGAAATCAAGTTTCAATCAACCATAAGAGACTCATAAAACTGCTCAAATTTTACCAATAGAAAGGTTAAATGACCAAATTTGTGTTTATTATTTCTCACTACTAGAGAATTTTAAGTGATTTTTTTAAAATTAAAATTTTTTAATTAAAAGACTAATAAATCACTTCAGCACATAAACACATTAATGTTAACTGAAATACAAGTTAAAATTAGTGGTGACTCTCTCCATGATGATAACTGGATGGTAAACAGAGAACAGTTGCAGGAAAACTACCTTCTACACAGATGTATTTATTTCTCCATTCAATACCATCAGGCCTCGGAATGGCTTTGGCTTCACGAACTGAAATCATTTGACTGTTCCAGCTGTATGAATAAAAACATTAGTCATTTTAACAATTTCCCTTTTATTATTTTTATTATATCGGCACAAGGCCTTGTCTGATTTTCCTGTAAAATATGAAAACTTGCCTCAATCCTCAACACTACAATCTCCACTTCCCTCCTCTATTTTCTTTATCCATTATATCTCTGAACTATTGATTTACTATTTATTATGTTGTTTATTGTGTATCTCCCTTAAATAGAATGAAAGCTCTAAAATACTAAGGTATTTACCTATTTTTTAATTGTTTGCCTAGTTGTTCAGCACATACCAGATGTTCAATACAAAATGAATAAATAAAGACAAAAAAAAAAGTCAGTACAAGCAAGCAAACAAATATTTAAAGTATACTTATTTGTAAGACCACATTTAGAACTTTTTTGTTGTGGTTGAAGGAGGGTGATCTATCATTGTTATTCTGGTACCATTAAATAATCTCTGTCAAGGGGCATCTCTAGCAGCAGTAACATGCAATGCTCTGCAAAGCTGGCCCATATGGGAAGACTCTGGGTTCACATCCAGAGATCTGAGTACCCCAGGCCTGTGTGCACACATGCCTCAGCGCTGGATAAAACTGGGTGTGGATTGAAGCATCAAGACCCTGTTGGGGTGTTTTCTTCTCTCTTTCTCACTCATGGAATAAATATTAGGTCATCAGGAAAGTCAGGACGTACTTTTCTATGTCTTACTATGCGAAAATATGTCATGACTTTCCTGACGACTGAATACATAAACTTAAAAAACTGTGTTTTAGCTTTGCCATTTCAGCAAGCAGAAAGAGACTATGGGTTGAGATCTTCCAACACTCACCCTAGTCGTCTTCTATTTATCAGATAGAGAATCTATAAGAAAATAATCATAGCACAGTACTACATTTGTTTCTGGAAATCTGACTGACTTGTATATTAAATATATGAGAAAAATATTTCTTTAATTTTTAGAGTTATTTAATTTTATTATTATTATTATCATTTTGTGTGCTCACCATAGAGAGGAACAGAGAGAACGAGAGAGGGAAAGTGAGAAAGCAAGCGGCCAGGTATGGAACTTGGCCATGTGGGAGTCCAGCACCTCAACCACCATGTCACCTGCTGGCCCCATGAGAAAAATACTTTATCTTGTGATGTCTGATCATCATAAAGTATCCTGAAAGTATAATGCTCTATTTTGTTCTGATCAAGAATACAATTTGAAAATACTTTATAAGGACATAAATAAAATAAGACTTAAAAAATTGTAGAGGAAAGTTACAAAACCACTTACTTGAACCAAACAGAGTTACAGTGTTAAACCTCACTTTAAACCAATTAAGATTAATTTTACTGGGACCAACAGTTAGCATAATGGCTATGTTGCTGAATTCCCATGTAGCCAACCACGGTTCGAGTCCCGGACCTGGTGGCTTAAACTCAGCCGGGCACGTGTGTATGCGCGTGCCCAAGATCCCGAGAAGAGAATGGAGGAGAAGGGACTGAGGCGTGGCCATACCCCCTGGGGGGGTGATTTATCGCTTTCTATCTCTCTGTCTCTCTCTGTCTTTCTGGCAAGCACACGCACCCTGTAGCAAAAAACTCTTTAAAAAAATATTAATTTTACTAATAACAAATTTTTTTTTCTGAAGACTATTGTTTCTAATGTCAGTTTATAGGACAATAGAATCTGCAGTAAAATTAAAATCACAAAAATTCTTTTAAAAGTGGGTAGACTAGGAACCAGCAGGTGGCGTGGTGGTTAAGGTGATGGATGCTCCTACATGGTTGGCCCCGACGGTTCAAGTCCTGGACCTGGCAACTTGCTTTCTCTCTCTCTCTCTCTTTAACTTAAAATAAATAAATAAATAAATAAATAAATAAATAAATAAATAAAGTGGGTAGACTGATTTTTATCTTTCAGAAGAATCTAGAATGCTGAAATATTATATCTTGTTATTAAATTACAACTTTTATTTCCTTAAATCACAAAAACTCTACCCTTACCACTATATTTCTATTAAATCCAATCCTGAATTTACAATACATGCAACTACTTGGTTCTAAACTAGACTAAAAACACAGTCCACCCCTCCCCCAACACACACTTGCACACGTGCACACACACACACACACACACACACACACACACTCATTTTATTGATCATCCATAACCAGGTACCATCTAAATTTCAATCCATAATCAACCCAAGTGACGTCGTTATTTAAATCATTATATAATTTGAAGTACTTCAATGAGGAAGAAGTTAATTTTTTAAATAATTTACTATTTGAACTGATTTAATCTACTGCATTTTCAAAGAACTTTTTAGAAGCTTCCCTAAGTATGTCATTCCTTAAGGCACACAGGCCATAAATAAGCTCTTTATTATATCTTTATAGATTAGTGATTATATTCTCTATCATATTTTGCCCATTATTTGAAAATCTGCTATTGTCGTTCAACAATTAAATGTAAAATAAGATACAAAGTCTATAAAGATGTTTTAGATATGAGCTTAATTTCATCTGAAACAGATTTAACAATATATAATATCCTTTGAACCTAAAACTGGGATCACTGATTTTATTAGCTAGGATCCTACCCCCTTTTTTCAATAATGATAACACACTGGTACTTATTATTTAACTCTCATCTAGCCATTTTTGTGGTAACCAACAGAAATTAGCTTGAGAAAAGTGATTAGAAATGAAGTTTCTCAGCACCATTATGAAGAGAAATTTAAGTCTAACGAAGTCAACATTATGAGTGTGATACTACACAGCTGCATATATTAGATTGTCAGAAGTCATGATGCATTTTTGCATAGAAAGACATAGAAAAATACATCGTGACTATCAGATGACCCAATATATTTTATTTTTTTAAGTTTCTGCTCTAGGGCATGTACATATACCAGAGAGAGAGAGAGAGGGAAAATGAGAAATCACCCTCCAGGGGTGGGCGACCATGCAGCAATCCCTTCTCCTCCATTCTCTCCAGATTTTGGGCAACACAGGCACACATGTCCAGTGTAATTTCACGTTGTGTGGTCCAGGGCTCAAACCACACAGTTGGCCATGTGGGTTTTGGCACCTTAACCTCCACACCACCTGCTTGTCCTACTACAAATATATTAAGACTAGTCCAATTAAGTGAACAAATGTGTCCAAGAGGTTTTCAAGACTTTATGGAAAACATGTATTATGAAAGAACTATGCATAGATTTCAAAAATCTTTTGCACCAAAACAAGCTTGTGCTTTAGTTCCAATTTTCCGTGAAATTTTTGGAGTCTTCTTATTTAGCTGTGTCATTATTAAGGGCTAGAAAGCAAACAAAAAGGGAACTTCCTTAGGGACTTCCAAAAAACTGAATTTTTTTTAGGTTTTTGCCATAGGGCAAGTGTGCTCACCAGAGACAGAGAGAGACAGTGAAAGAAAGCATGCCCAGGGGGGATGGCCACACTGCAATCTCATCTCTTTCACTCTCCTCCTGAGATCTTAGGCACATATGCATACACTCCCGGCATAATTTTCAAGCCACCAGGTCTGGGACTCGAACCATGGTCAGTCATGTAGGAGTCCAGCACCTAAACCAGGATGCCAGCTGCTGGCCAAAAATATATTTTCTTTAAGTTTTATTTATTGATTCCTTCCATAGGAGAGATGAGAGGGAGAGTCTTCACACTGCAGTCCAACCCCTAGCCTCAGTCACTCTTGCCCAGGAAGGCCTTGGGACTTGAACCAAAGAGTCCCATGTGGGACCAGTTACACTACCACTGGACCATTCCCAGCCTCTCAAACATTTTAAGCAGAGAGAAAATTTTACTCTAACCCTGGAGTTTCATTTGTTTTCACTGGATGCTTCTCTTCTGTGTGACTCTTTAAATGGTAGTGCCCATCAGCTCTGTCTCTTTGAATTTTTTTCTAATACTAAAGTTTCTATTCCCAGGTTCCAATAATCTGATGTTTCTTTCTTAAATCCTTTCTCCAAAACCCTGACCTTTGTATTAATTCCCAGGCCACTGTTTACAACTAACTATTATAAACCGCTAGGACCAGCTGGTGGCATGGTCGTTAAGATCCTACATGGCTGAAAGCATGGTTCAAGTCCAGGGCCAGAGGCTTGAAAAACACACCAGGTATATGTGCCTGTGTGCCTAAAAAATCCCAAGAAGAAAATGGAGAAGATGGGACTGAGGCATGGCCATCCCCTTGGGAGTGCTTTCTTACTTTCTTCCTCTCTTTCTTCCTCTCTCTTTCTGGCAAGTGCATGTGTCCTATAGCAAATTAAAAGAAGAAAAAAGTAAAAGAAAGAAACTGCCACCTGGATGTCCTATCAGCATCCCTGTGCTCATACTTTTTTTTTTTCTTAAGGCTTTTGCTGGATGAGTATGCTTGTCGTAGAGAGTCAGTGAGGGAAAGTGAGAAATAACCTCCCCAGGGGAGATTCTTTTTCCTCCATTCTCCTCCTGAGATTTTGGATACACACACATGCCTGGTGTGATTTTCAAGGCACCAGGTCCGGGACTCGAACCATGGTAGGCCACGTGGGAGTCTGGCATCTTAGCACATCATCTGTTGGCCCCTAAGACTGAGTATTTATTACATCTGTCCATGGTCGATTATTAAAATCATTCCTCTGTGCATATTCACAGCTCCCTTAACTCACCTTGCTGCTCTGAACCTATATGGCAGAAACACAACCCTGATTAAATCTACTTCAATTCTTTTCCATGCAGCTGAATAAGGGTGGAGCTGCAATCACGCTGACTGATGGCACTTTAAATCCATGATCACTTAGCTCAAAATGATCCCTAATGCTACTACCCACCAATCATAGTATAATCCCATGCCACTACTCACCAATCATGGTATAATTCCATAGCTTACTACCTCTTTTTCTCTCCCACATGACAATTCTTTTTTATTTTTACTTTTTGCTACAGGGCTCAAGCGTTTGCCCCATGATCTTCCCAGCCCTGCATTCAGTCAGCCAGGATCAGGATCA